CATAACATGTATTGTATAACATAATATATAACAAATTGTATAACATAATATATTATATAATAATATAATTAATCATTTTAAGTATTCACGTTTTTTTTAAGCACTTTACAGGGTATCTAACAGTCTCCTATGTCACAGACTGACAACAATTGCAAAAATGAGTAATACCCACCATCATTTATGCAAATAATATTATTATATTGGATCGTAGGGGACTTACATTCGATTCTTGGGCAAGCCCCAAGCCCACTTTGAACTGCATTTCCCAACGTCCRAAGCTGCTGACATTTGCCTTTGCTTTGCTTTGCTTTTGCTCAGGGGGAATTATTTTGCAAATAAATCTCTTTGCAGTGATAATGCGACGACAGCCGATGAGCGTCTCTATATAAGATGCTCCGCTCTCAACAAATCTTATTCAGTGCTTCAACCAAACGACATGAAGTGGTTCGCTCTGTGCGTTTTAATGCTGGCTTTGCTGGGTCTGATTGCTGCGGCGCCTGCGGGTAAGAGTGTTATATACTTATATTAATATACCAATTAATATATAATTAATTATCATTTATAATCATATTCAGGTCAAATACGTGTGCGCACCTCCTCCACAACGAAAGTTCATGTGCGCAATGGCAATATCAAGTGGAATGGCAATTGCCACAATTGCGACATTCGCACCACCAAAAACACCGCCCAGGTGACCAGCACGAGGACGAAGCAATGGACACGTAAATGGTAAAAGGCCATAAAATGAGCTTAAGTAATTAGCTTAATTAACTTAATTACTTAAGTATTTATAATTGGAACTCTAAAGCTGCAGTCTAGACAAAAGTGTGTATTTATATGTAGTCTTAATATTTATTTTATAATTAACGAAAAAAATGTGTCATAATATAGTTAATTAAAATAACAGTATATATATATCTCTATATTTGTATCTTTATATACATATATTTCATATATTTTCAAAGAATTCATTAGATACCAAATCATGTACTGCCTCTATCCAGAACTACTTGCATATTCATTATACGTTTTCAACTTGTATTTATTTCGATACAAATTTCGATATTTATTAAATTCCAATACGCCATTATATAACGATATACGTTATACAAAACATATTATACATATATTATTATATAGCTCTCTTATCACTAGAAAAGGTCCATAACAGTTGACAAAAAATTCGTTATTCCAGCCTTGAAAGATTATTGAAGGTTTTGAAGAAAGTATGTATATAGGTATAACTGTCTCTTCTGAGTTTTACAGCATCAGTAGTAAGTTATTTGTGACACATTTTCCCCTTTCTAACCGCAAAGCTAAGGAAAAACTGAATTCTTTCGACCTATTAGACGTAGGTCTATGCCTTCAAGTCTTCTGTTATAATAGTACCCAAGATAAATAAAGTTGAGTAAGATGATTGTAAACTAAAGCCAATATGCTCCTCTTACCTTACAATAGAGTATTAAACATTTGTGAAATTTCATTAATTCATAAAAGTTTTCAGCTTTAACGAAACTATTCTAGAACTAAATGAAATTTGAAATTTATGTTTCTCTCCTTTCTATATGCCTTCATTTCTAGAGTGCTTCATTTTGTATCCAAAATTTAACCAAACTCAAACTCAGTTCAGAGCCTTAAAGCTACAATTTATTTTCAGACTTTGGTTTCATTATATTAATTAATAATTTTAAGAAAATACCCAAAATTATTTTCAACTTATTCTAAGCAAATCGTAAATCAGCCGAAGCTGCTTTGCCACTCTCAGCTTTAGGCCAAGAAAATATATTTTATGGTGGTAAAAATTGCCTTTTGAGTATTTGGTGGTGCGATGGCTGTTGCCGTTGATGGTGCAACCCTTTCTGGATTTTTTTTTTGTTTTTTTTTTTTTTTTGGCCAAATGACATTACACGTGTTTCTTGTCTACAAATTTTTATGTGGCCTTCGCTATAAAACCTGCCGTTTCCTTGAGCACTCTGTTTTCAGCTGCTGCTCTGCCTCGTCTTCCTCCGCTTCTTCTTGTTCTTTTTTGCTTTGAGCGTGTCCTGCTTCGACATTCACGTTGCTCGCTTTTTATTGCCAAAGCACGAAGCCAAACCGCTGTGCGCCTGTAAATGACTCCCCGGGCACCTTTATATTGACTCGTAAAATTGCGACATTTAGAGCGAAATACCCCCCGCCAGCTACAGCTACAAGGCGACTAAGCAAACACCACTCGACCCCATTCCTCATTCACTCAGTCGAGTAACCATCTACCCGCACTTCCGGTCGTTTGTCTTTTTGTGTGTTGCCTGCTTTTCGGCGCCGCGGCGAATTTCTTAACATTATTTCGTTTTTATTTTTAAATTTGATTTTTATTTGCCTCACAGTCGCAGCCGACAACGATTTTTATGGTTGAGTGTCTTGAACCCTCTAGTTTTTTCCCCAATTTTTCCTATATATATATCACAAAGGGTAGTTTTGCATCAGAGTCCACATGTCATATATATTTATCTATACATTGAGAGAAAAGGTTACATAAATGTACATAATTTATATTTAATTTTTTTCTTATCTTATGCTATACATCTTATCTAAATTTATTTTCTTTTAACTTACCCACATTTTATTTTGTACAGGGTATAATTTCGGCGACTATTCCATGTTCATTGTTAGTACCCTGCTGTCATTGCTACCAGTGCCGGAAATTGACTTGGAAAACGGTTCAATGCTTGGTTTTATTTTCTCTTTAGGGCGCGCAGCCCGAAAAATTGAAATCGGACATTATGTCTGGGGGGCAACGGCTATAATCGCAGCGACACGCCCATTGGAGGCAAAGCACTTTACAACGTTCACTTTCTGTCTCGATTTTCACTTAACATTTGGTAGCGTTAATCATTGCTTTGGCATATTGCTCTTTGCTGTATCACCCCACAATGAGTAAATCGAATAAAGAGATGTCAATGTGCTCTTGAATTTTTAATTTACTTTAATTTTAACTTCGGCGTTCCCGGAAAAAAAAAGTAAAAGAAAAGGAAGAAAAAAAAAAAAAAACGGTAGTTCTGCCTGCTGTCTGCGAGAGTGCCTGAGTTACTAAGTGCCTCTATTTCTCTCTCCTTCTCTCTCAGTTGCATATGTTTGCTTGTGTGTGTCTGCATTCATATTCTTGTGTGCTCCGGTTATATGCTGTAATTAATTGACATACATAAATATTTAATTAAGAAATAAAGTGAAACGTAGTGAGATATGAGCGAAATGCACTAGAGGCAATTGGTCAGTGAGGTAAATCAATGGTGCGTACAAATTTAATTTAATTTAATGTATATGTATGAAGGTAAACATAATTGTAATATGCATATGATTATACATATATACATCTATACATATACATAGCGCGCACACACACACACACATTTCCTACACATTAATATATA